ATGATGATGATGATGATGATGATGATGATGATGATGATGATGATTAACCAAGTTCAGCTCAACGCAAGGACTAAGTCTTCTGCTGATCCCATGAAATCCGGTGTGCCAACCCAAGGCTCGAACAAGCTTCTCGATCTTACGTTTTCCGTCTCGTGGTGGGTTTCGCACGTCTGCTGATTTATTTGGCAGAGTCACGCGTTCCTGGGAACGAGGCCTTGAGTTCTCCTGCCCAATCCTCAATCGTCGGAGGAAGCAGGTCATTCCGAGGGTCTTCTCTGACGTGCCTCTCCCAGCAAAATCGAGCATTTTTCCCTTGCCACCCCCACCGCAGCCCCCCAAACCTCACCGATAATCATCCGTCATCAGCGCCGTCTGGTTGTGTTCCCACGTTATCGTGGCTTCTGGGACCCCCTGGACAAAGCACTGGAAGCGAGCGACGCCACCCTCTTCAACCGACATTGATTCTGGGTGCATGTGGAACTTGGATAGAGCTTCAGGGAGAAACAACACGCAGTCAAATTCTGAGCCAACCATCTTGACCTTATGATCTCTATTCGCCTCGTCTACAGAGCCCCCTAAGCTGGACTACTATAAACTGGCCTAGATGGGGCTGCCCTTGAAGCCTGTTCAAAACCGCAGCCAAGGTCTGCTAGAAGGACTTTCTGGATGAGCTTTGGAGAAACCGTCACATCCCTCTGGAGTTGGTTTCCAAGCTCGGTTCAAGGCGGGGGATCTCTAAGTTCCTAAATAATTTGGGAATGAAAAATCTCCCCCACCCAGCCTCCAGATAACAAGCCAGCTTTCATCGGAGCCAGCCTACATCTGCCATCTTCATGCAAGGCTCCGCGTGAAGCGGGGACAAGCCAGCAGGTCTTTTCTGTAGCTGCCCCACAACTAGATCGTGTTCTTTTTCAGATTTTTTTTTTTTAAATGGATGTGGAACCCCATCAAATTCTCTCGGGGCCCGGTTGGAAAAACCCACACTGAGGTCCATGGAAGTGGTCCATAAGGAGAGAAGACCTGCCCCCTTTCCCCCAGATTTTAAAGAGGCAGTAAAAATGGGGCACGGCTGTGCGGATCTTAATGATGTCCTTGGAAGCACGAGGAGAACGAAAATTTAGACAATATTGTATAGACTGACTGGCGATCTGGATCCGAGCCTTGCGGCTGACCAGCAAGCCATAACAGTTCTGGGCGGCGCAGCTGAACTCCCCGGCGCTGGAATTGGAAGGGTCTTGGCTGGGGTTTCCTCCCCGGGGCGGACGCTGGATGCTTTCCAGCCGCAAGGATCCGTTGGCCAAGAGGGCGGTGCGGCTGTCGTTGGAGAGGGCCACCCCGTTGTGGTACCAGGTGATGCTGATGGGCGCCTCGCCTTCCACTTGGCAGTGGAGGACCAACGGGCGATCCCGGACGGCAATCATGTCGCTCGGCTCCAGGATGAACGCCAGCTCTGACGGGTGGGCCGGGCCTGCGGAGGGAAGACGGTGGTCAGGACCGGTGCTCCAACGTCAGCAGAGGGCAGTCGATTCAGAAGCAGAACCATGGAGTTTTTCTGCACACAACTCAAGTTTGGTTCTCTAAAGAGCACACGTCCCCAGGAAATATCTTCCTTCCTTCTTTCCTTCCTTCCTTCCTTCCATCCGTCTTTCTATCTTTTCCTTCCTTCCTCCCTCCCTCCCTCCCTCCCTCTGCTTTGCTTTCGTTCGTTCGTTCGTTCATTCCTTCCATCTATCCATCCATCTTTCTATCTTTTCCTTCCTTCCTTCCTTCCTTCCTTCCTTCCTTCCTTCCTTCCTTCCATCTTTCTATCTT